GGCCGCGCTACGAGGAGATGCCGCTGTACAAGGAGCGCGGGTGCTACATCTGCCATCAGGGTGTCCGCATGCTGGAAGGTACCGGGCACCCCGCGCCGGCCCCAGCGCTGCCCCCTTCCCAAGCACTCCGCCTGCCAAGGCTTCTCCTCGCACAGAGTGTAAAACACGGGCTGTGAAGAGCCTGCCCAGCCCCGTGAGCTGCCAGGCAGCCTCGGTCACACGTAGAATGGCTTGGGTTGGAGGGGGGCCTTGAGGATCACCGCTGACACGTGTGATAGATCGCGCTGGGTTGTGTTTCCAGGAGTGCGGCAGGCGCAGTGGCTCACCAAGACGAAGCTCGTGGAAGGTTTGCCCCCAGCCGTGCAGGCCATTATGGATAACCCTGCTCTGGGGCTCCAGGAGCTGGAGGAGAGGGCGGAACGCGTGGTGTCCCACGCGCGGCTCTGGGACACAGCAGAGGTGGCTCCCAGGAGGGAAAAATATTGGTGAGTCCTGTGCTGTAGGGGAGGTTTTAAACGCTGCAGAGAAAATCCATACACAACTCTTCTGTGGAAGGAGGGTCTACTGTACAAGTCCCTTTGTATCAGATTGTCAAACAAAAGAACCAAAGAAACAAATAAAACCCAATTCTGAATATTGACAGTAGCACTGACATAAATACTACACTAGATCAAAGCTTCTTTCAGGCCAATGTCTGTGTTTCAACTCAAGATCTAGCTGATGCAGAGTATCAATTTTTAAAATAATTGTAAGCATTACCTCTGCCAACTTGAAACAGTGTGTGTGATACCAATCTGCAATCTCTGTTTGGGAGTGTTGTGCCATTATATGTTTTACATACAGTAATTTTACAGCATTTGTGCCCTAGAAGCATCTGCCTGCTCTTATGATCTCATTTTTATGTAACTGTTTCTTTTCCTCTTTTACAGCCCAGTGCTGTTTGAAAACCTGATGCATTTATGCCGGTTAATGTCTGGGAAGTATCCTTCTCTGAGTAAAAGGATGTTGGCTAGAAACTTCAGGATAGCAACAACATGGGAAAGAGGTCAGTTGCTGCTGTAGTGGAAGCATGTAAGATAAGAAGGGTAGCAAAGCTCCTGGCTTTAAGGCTGAGGACTTGGAGAAAATGAAACAATTTCTGGAGCCAGGTTATTCTTTCTGGTTTAAATAGTGCTGTTGGCATGGGCAGCCTTGGATGATAGCAGGATGCTATCCTTGAGGAGATTATTAGGTGTTAATCAATACTGACAAGATGGTGGGAGAAGGGAACCAGTGTCTTAGGTCTGACTGTTTATTTTCTTGGGTCCTAAATCAGTGCTGTTGTTTTTCTAAGGATATTTAGTTAAGAATTTAACCCTAGCAATTAACATTGGCATTTTAGAAGAGGAACCTACAGATGGGTTTGGAGGAGAGGGGGAGAGAGTGAGCCTTGCAGAACAGACTGGCAAAAGGAAATGTACATCTTTCCCTGATGTTATTTCAGCAGTGTTTGACTGTAGCCTAATTTCCCTCTCCAGAATCCATCCTCCTTCAGGTCCGTGGCCTGAGTGGAATACTCATGAACTCTATGACCCCAATACCACCAGTAGCCTCCAAGGAGGAGATACTGGCCACCAAAGAGCATGTTCTGGAGACCTTCTATCCCATTGCTCCTACAATCGATCTTCAGGAGGTGAATGTGTACAAAGAGCTCAATGATACAGGTCAGTGTTGGTGGTAATCATCTGTGTTTGGGTTAACTTGGGAGTCCTTGTCCTTCTGGGGGCAGCTGAGGGTAGGGAGTGTGTGGGAATGGGGGGACAGAAGAGTGCTCCAGACCTGTGGTGAGTATAGTGTTGCCTAAGCAGGACTGAGGACAAGAACTTAAACCCCAGCAAACTACTTGAACAGTTCCTGAAGATACTGGGAGAAAACCTTGGCTGCCTAATGTCTTCCTGAGCAGTTTCTGACATGATTATGTGCCTTTTAGGTTTCAGAGATGGTTATCCCTACTCTCATCCTCACACCCTGTTCTTCCTGGAGTCTGCCAACGTTCGCACCAACAGGTTCAGACCAGAACAGCTCCGTGCTAAAATGCTGATGTTTGCTTTTGGCAACGCGCTGGCCAAGGCCAAGGCGCTCCACGGGGTACGTATGGGAGGCTGCTGCTGGGCCTCTCTTCTTCCTCTCCTGCTGCAGACAGTGTAGGGAGGCCTGAAAGCCCCTTACAGTCATTTTCACATCCAAGTTTCCCAGCCCAGAGGTAAAAACCCAACCTTCAGAAATCCATAAATCCACTGCTCAGCAGTGAGAATGTTTGTGATGCAGTGGGGTGGCAGGGGCAGGAGCCAGGGAGTAAGTTCAGCTGTAAAACTGTAAGCCATCCCACAGCTCAGTATGTAAATTGACACTTCATTGCTGGTTGAAGGAGGAATTTTAATTAAAATACAAAATCTACATTCAAAACTTGTTTGACTAGAGTCATTTTCTGGGCAAGGTAACAATATATTTATTAAAATCTTGGCTTTAAACCAACCCAAAGATGCAGAATCAGCAAGTACTCGTACAATTTCTGTTGTAACTAGATTTTGAAACACATGCCCCTTCTTTTCCTAGAATGACCCCAAGGTTTTGGAGCAGCCAGTAGTGGTGCAAAGCATTGGCACAGATGGACAGCTCTTCCAGTTCATGGTGTTCCAGTTAAATACAACAGACCTTGTCCCTAATGATGGTGTAAAAAATCTAGTCTGGATTGACTCTGATCAGAACCTGTATGAGAGAGCCCAGTGCGTCCCAGAAATCAAGAAGAAAGTTGTTACGGTAAGGAAAACTTGGGAAATGGTTGTGGAAATGCTGCCCTTTCATCACAGCTGAGGTCTGGGAGCTGGCAAAGAACTGCAGCAGGTTTTAAACCCACTGGAGGGACTTGAAGTGGACATTGGCCTCATTTTTACCTATGCAGGTATTTCTGAGGGGACCAGTTCCTGAGTATCTGTAGTGCTGATGTGTGACATGTCATGCTTAACATGAACTCCTGTGTGCAGATACCTCCAGCTGTGATCCACCATCTCATAATGTGCTTGTTTAAAACCAGCTCTGAGGAAGGGAGCGCTCACAAGCGACTGTCAGCCTCTCTGGGGACTAAATAGGGCACAGGGCTGCCTGTACTGGTTATACTGGGAGAGCAAAGATCTCACTCACAGGCAAAAGGGTTCTGCCCTCTGAGATTGACACCAGTGGAAGTACTCCCACACAAACCCTTCTGGGGAGGGAGAGCACAATTTGGAAGCTGCCATGCCTGAAAGTCTTATTCAAGCATGTTTAAAGCCGTTGTTTGTCTACATTAATCACTTCACTGCAAACTGAGCATCCGTGTCTTTTTCTCTGCAGAAGCCCGCTGGAATTTCTGGCTTTCAGCCAGACACATTCAAGAAGTTTCTGGCACTGTATCTGCATGGAACTGTGTGAAATTCAGCTCAAATGAAAATACTTCACCAACTGTACCTGCTGCTTCTCTTTGCTAGAACTGTCATATAATTAAAGAAAGGTGGATTAATTTACTTTAAAAAATAAATTATATTGTTACTGAAAGTAAAATTTTATTATTTTTTTTTTTAACTAAATAGTTCATGAAGAAAGTCTTTCATTTTAGGGCTCACCTCTGGATTTGGGTTAGAGAAGTCATCAGATGCATCCTCCTGCACTCTTCCTCCATTGCCTGGGAAGAACATAAGCCAGTCATTATTCCTGTGCGCAGGCTCTGCTCTCAGTGTGCTTCTGCACAGAGCCAGACTCAAACCTGTTCCCGAGGTTGCTTTGAGTCCCTCTGAATGCAGAAGAGACTTACAAAGCTTCAAGGGGAAAGCCTGAGCCATGAGCCTTTTTCATTCTGCCTGGCTTTGACTTTGTTTTACTCCTGGCTGCTGTGGGATGCGTCGTGCTGCCCTGTGCTTAGTTCCCAAAGCACTTAATCGGAGGGATTGCTTTGTTGGATCTGTAGAACCGCAGTCCTTTTATCCCCCAATCCTGGATGAAGAGACCTGTGCATTTGGGGAAGGTGATGTAGAATGTAGCAGGAAACTTTGGTGCCTGTAGCTGGTATTTGCTGCTAGAAATACAAAGGAAGAATTTCTTCCTGCCACACAGAGTTAACTGAGCAGGAAGCGTATTCTTTTTAACATGGGGGGATTAGTGTGGGTTTTGTAAAATGAAAGCTAAATTAGCTGCAGCCAAATGTAGAATGTTTTGCAGTTCTGGTACCCTCCAGCACATGGGAAGGGAGAGGACAGCCTGCGCTATTTTAAGGTGTGGAAGAGCACATTTCCAAGAAATTCATCTCACTTCAGTGTCTCGTGTCAGAGGCTGGTCTGTGCTTTGTGATCCCTGGCCATCTGGATCAACACCCCAGTTGTGTGTTCCAGCCCCAGCCCATCAGGCAGCTCCACTCCGCAGCTTTCGGGAACGTTCTCCAGTCACATTTGAAATCAACAATTGCACCCCGTAAATTGGGATGCAGAGGCTGCAAGCTAAATTAACAAATCCCTCCATGGTTAGAAGTGCTCGAAAGAGAAATAACCTCTGAAGTGTTGCATTGCTCTGCATCATAATCCTGCCTGCTCGAGGGATGCCTAATTCAGCTCATCGGAGTAAATCTGCTCAGGTCTGTGATTTGCACCCAGGTGTTTGGGAATACATTTTAACAGAGCTGTGCTCTGCGGAGCCTGTCACACGCAGTGGGTGTTTCTTTCTCGGGCTGTTGGCTCCCTGCCGTGTCACACGGACCCTGCTTGACATCCCCTCGCTCTTCCAGCTTCGGGTCATTACCCATCCCAGGGAGGAAGCCCTGTCGGGCAGCCAGCTGCCTGTTAGCATTCCTGAGGAGAGAATTTCCCTGAGGAAGTCTGGTGGAAGAGCAGCTGTGGTGGGGAGGGGTTGTGGAGAGGTGAAACACCTCATGTGCTTCTAGTAGATGTGGAAATTTGTGGGGATGGGCTGTGTGGAAGAGGCAGAGTCCCTTCAGCTGCTTTTACCTCTCAACAAAGACATCTCTGTCAGGGCAGGCAGTTGAAGGGGAGAGAGGAGGGAAGCTGGAACCCTGCTGTGTCCAAACTGAGCTGAGACAAAGCACAAGCACAGGGAGGGATGGACGACAGCAGAGCAAAGGGAGTTTTGAAAAATAGCGGAAGCAGGGAGACATGGGATGGTCAGCAGGAAAATGAGGCTTCAGGGCTTGTGTGAGGCATCAGGAAGCTGCTGGAGGCGAGAGGATCACACAGAAGCTGTGTGTGAGGCCGTGTCCCTGCTTTGCTGAGGCGCAGTCACTCTCACCTGAGGCCAGGGGAAGCGGTACTCGTGCTTCACTGGAAGCAGCAGCTGATCCTTGTGCAGGGAACACTCCTCTGAGGGCCTGGAGAGGAGCTCAAGGTGGGGCCAGGTGGAGCTCCCAGCTTGGCACCTGGCACGGATGCTCAGGCTGGCCCAGCGTGGCCCTTGAACCAGGCAGCTCCTGCCAGCTGTCCCTGGTGTCCTGCTGTGCCTCCCAAGCACTCTGTGCATGGCTCAGCTCTCCCAGTTCCCCCAGCGTGGCCTGCTGGAATCGGCCCAGCTGAGGGAGGTGGGGTGGGGAGCCCAGCAATGGCTCACAGAAGCACATCTGGGCTGGCATCAATAACTTATAAAGGCTCGTCAGCAGACGAATGGCGTTACCTCAGCACGGACCAGGGCCAGGCATTAACTTTTCATGAACGGCAGCCAGGGAAGCAGAACGTGCAAGAATGGGGTGGCAGGAGCCCGAGATGAGGAGGCAGAGGAGCCTGGCTGCCCGCAGGAGAGTTCTGCAGGACCCAGAGGAGCCTGGCTGCCCACAGGAGAGCTCTCCACCACTCCACACTCCCTTCCCCTGAACCGCTCCCACTGCAAAATCCAGCTCCACAGGCTGCACACATCATGCCAACAAGTACACACCGTGCTCAGCCTGGAGCCCCTGGTTGTTCTGATCCTCCTCCCGCATTTAATTTAATGAAAACTAATGGGGGAGACAATTATCCCTGAGGCTGGGCTCAGGAGACGTTTCGAGGAGGGAACTTGGCAGTTTCATGGTGATATTTAATAATACCAGTCTGTAACCCTTAAGAACCAACAGTAAGGACTTCTTTATGCCCCACAATAAAAACACAACAGGCAGCAGTGCAGGAGCCTGCTGCTCTGGGCAGGGTCTGGGTCAGCAGGGGTGGCCTCAGGGGTCTGGGAGGGCAGGATTTCCTCATCAGCCTCAACCCCTCAGGGGTCACAAAACCAAGTGATGGACAATGCTCACACTCTACTTTCTGCAAAGCACAGGGGGACGTGATTGCCTGGGCCAAAATCCACGCTGGGGCACAGCTGTGGGCCCTGCACGCGGACATCTGTGGCATTACCCTGGAAGCAAACCCGCCCAGGCAGCAAAGGGTGCAAACACACGCTGCTCCTCAGGCTGTGCAGGCACGATGGTGGCTCCCAAACCCAGCAGCCTTCCAATGCATCCTCCCCTCGCCCTTGTGCTCCGGGAGATCCGCAGCCACATGGTGCTCACTGCAGGAATTCCAGCAATGACCTGGCTGCCAGTGCCAGGTGGGAGCATTCCCCAGGAGCAGCAGAGCTCCAGGATGGCCCACAGCCCCCACAGCCCACGCCTGAACATTCCCCTGAGGAGGGAGAGCTCACAGGCAGCCACGTCCTGCCCCAACTAGTCAAAGGTAGAGAACAAGTCTCCCACAGCAGCTCCCGGGAGTGTTTCAGACACCTGGCACTTGCAACTTCCCATCCAAAGGCCTAAAAATTCCCCATCTTTCCTCCAGCCTCTGATGCTGCCCACTGGGGAATGAGGTTGGGGTGCCTGGGTTTCTCCATCCCCAGCGGCTCCTGGAGCTGTTGTTCCTGCAGTGGTGCACACACCCACCCAGCACGGCAGCTCTTGCCAAGGAGGGGCACAGACTGCACTGCAAGCTCAGTATTTATGTATTTGGAAACAACTCTCTTGTGTTCCCCTCCCTTTCTTACCTCCCAGCGGTGCAGAACTCTGGCAAAGGGAAGTAGCAGCACCCAGCTGCTGGCCCAGGGAGCTGCTGGAGGACAGACCAGCCCCTCCAGCCTCTAGTGACCAAAGCCTGGGGAACAGTGTACCAAAAAAACCCCTTTTAGCCCCTAAAACACCCCTCTCTGCCTGCAGCCTGATGGGCTCCATGTGGGGAGGCCAAGGGTCCGGCCAGCACATCCTCAGCCCGGTGTGGACAACACTGACCATTTTCTAGGCTGAATTTTCAAAATGCTTTAAAAAGAAAAATATTCCAAGAAACAAGCAGGCATCGTTAAACCTCCCCTAGGTCCTGAACTGCAGCCAAATGCCCTTGGGATTTTGAATTCTCAGGCTCAGCCAGCCCCCCTAAAGTGCCAACTTCTCAGCTCTGCAGCACCTCTACTCCTGCACCCCAAATCTGGGGTTTGGTCCTCGATAAAGGTTGGAAAAAAATACCCAACTCCCACCCTGTGTCTGGCAGCAAACACCAGAAACAAACTGCAGAGCACCGAAATCAAATGTTTATGTTGATATTTATTACAGCAGGGGGAGGGAGGAGAAGGAGGGGGAACCATTTCATTCAAAAAACCATCCCATACCAATGAAGACAATAATTTAGCTATTCATTTTAAAATACATTAAAACCGGTCCTTTCATTTCCTCACATCAGAACAAAAAAAATTAAAAAAAAAAAAAAAAAAAGAAAAAACCCCCAAAACCTGAACGAGATGTAAAGTGGAAAAGGTTAAAATTGACCCCTTGGGGAGCCCCTGGGTATGCAATGCAACCCAAAATCTGCATTACTTGGAAAATATTAACCTGACTGTAACTATGAGACTGACACCCTCAGACCCCCCCCATC